GGATCAGGAGACATGTGGCATTGTGGCAACAATGCGAGGTTGGCAGAGGAGTGTGATTCGCCGAACTGAAAGGGAGGGGACGTTTTCCCTCCGATCAACGCCGCGCGCGCAGTTTAAAATAGCCGATTTTCCCGATCTTCGCTCCTTTCCGCTCTTACAACTCGCGACCAAAACATTTCCCCAGCATGCGGTAAAGAGCTAGAGGACCTACTAGTACGGTGGCTTAGCGCCAAAAAAGGGCCAAATGCTGCAAATCGTGATTCAGTTTTGCCACTTTGGGAGATCAAACTAGATGATCTTTAAGCGTTTTGAGTCGAAGAGGCATTTCCAAAATGGTGGCAGAGCCAAGATGGCGGCCATTCAAAATGGCGGCCGGCGCGTACTTTGAGCCGCTATAGATCAGTTTCCACTGAACCGATTTAATTTTTGATTTTTTTGTTTGATAGATAATTGAAAGGTAAATACAACAAAATCACAAAATTTTTGATTTTGACATTATACAGGGTGTTTTTTTCATAAAAACCGGTTTTTGTGTATTGAAAAAAAAGCTTTTAACCCATAAATCTTTTAAAATCGCATTATTAAGGTCACTTTAGATACTCACCAATTAAAAGAGCGTCTTTTAAGCTTTCCAACGATATACTACATGATGGGTCTATGATTTAAGATTTCCGCGCCACTGCGATCCGCGCGGCGGCGGCACAGCGCGGACCTGCATAAATTAGTCCACGGGCATATGTTGAAAACAAGCCTACCGTGAAATAGTAAATGGAGTAAGTGTGGAAAATGGCCTAATCTCTTCTTTTCGATGTGTAGAAAAATAATTTTGATGTTGTCAAGCTCCATTTTGCGTCCAACCCCTCCAATTCAACATGGCGGCCAAAATGGGGGCTCGAGGGTTGAAGATGTTGGAATTTGTTTTTGATGTCGTGTGTGGGGTCCACCACTATGTAAATTTGGTCGTAGAATTCGAATTTAAGGTCCAAAATTGTCTCCGGCTCAAAGGGATGCCCAAAATCCAATATGGCCGCCAAAATTTCCATGATAGGGTCAAATCTCCGAGAGTTGCGTAAAAGTGCCGAGTAGGGTATCTTTCATAGGGTTTTCTGGATCGTAGATTTCACTGATGAGGTCAGAATTTTACTACAGGTTTATTGAAGCCCAAAAATTTTAATATGGCGGCCAAATGGCTGCCGTTCCGGGGTAAAGTATTTTGTTGAGGCTCGTATCGTCGGGTGAGGTGTTCCTGCATGGGTTTTTTGGGTCGTAAAATCCACAAATGAGGTCCAAATACCCAAACAGGCCCAAAAAAGTTCTCAAAGAACCAAAGTGGTGGCCAACATGCCTGCCGCTCAGATAGTGAGAACGGTAGAAAAGTTACCTTTCATACAATGATGAATTTTCGTATATGTTTTGTACTCCGCTGATTCCGGATGTAGTCCAGAATGTCAAGAAAATAAGTGAAGTGGATACGTATACCACATAATTTGCAATGCTTATGAGATTTCGCAACCCACTCTTCCTTTTGGAGAAAATGTACGACTTTACTCATGCTCATACCCGTGTAGCGACCAGGGGGCGTAGCCCCCTAGTTATTTACGGGTTGTTGCATCTTTAGAGCTCGATGTTTCACCCTTTTCATTAAACAGTTCAAAGCTATTTTTGGTTAGGTTCTGTTGATTATCAAAGATATTATGATTTACCAACATATTTGGATCGTGAACAACAACATTTTTGTTGGCATTCATGCTTTCTATAAAAGATTTCACTTGGTCCAGATCTTTTCTGAGTGTAGGCGTCTCAATTTTTAAGTCATTGACCGTTTGTTCGGCCCTAGATTTCTCTGAGGCGAGTTTGTTTAGAACTTCAGGTACTTTCCTCAAAACCTGTTTGAGTTTGTGAATTCTGCTACTAGCAACATTAGGATTATTACTATCCAGACTCACATTAGAGTTGATCGCTGAGAGAGTTTCTTCCTCTAGGTTAGCTGTCAATTCCGTTGACGTGGCAGGCAGAGAAGCCTGTTGGGTTTGGAGAGTGTCACTATCACCATCACTTGTAGAATCCATTGCCAAATTCACTTTTTATCCGCGCAAAGCGCGACACAGTGTAGAATTATGTTTACATTTTTAGTTGTAACACCACTAAATTTGACCACTGGTGGAACATTGAACTTATCAAATCGTTTACCGCGATAACAGAGCGTGTCTAGTACGAAACGTGTGCACTGCTCGGGTTATCAAACAAGACTCCTCCCTGAGGTACTAAACAATTTATGTACAAGGTACAGGCCCTTTTAACAGGTGCTGAAGCTGAAGAAAACGTTTTCGTTTCAAAAATTAAATTAAATACCTGCGATTCACAATTTACCCTTCATCCTACGAAGGCGTCAGTTTCTAATAGCATTGGCCTTTGCAATCAATGCATCTCACGGGAAAAGTTTTGGTAAAGATGGAATATACAAAAACAGATCCTTATGTAGCCAAGGGCAGCTGTATGTATGTATGTAGCACTTTCAAGATGTTTGGATCAACAAGGAATTAGAATAGAAAAAACCAAAAGAAAGATAACAATGAAATTGCAAACACAGTCAGGAGTGAACTTTTTCAACAATTTTGTTTTTTAATACAATTTCCCGATATTTTGACCTATCTACTTCAAAATATGTACACCTAGTTTATGAAATTTCTAATTGTGTAGGTTCTCACCCTTAATTAATTTTAAAACTTTTTTTCAAATTAAAAGGAATTTTGAGTTACAAAATAAATGGTATTTTACGAGGGTTGTTCAGAAAGTGAGTTTCCCTATTTTTTTTCTCAAGAACTATAAAAGCTACTAAAATGGTAAATATATGGCTGAAAAACTTATACTCTCAGCTTTTTAACAGTATATCGGTTTTTGCTTTTTGACCAACCATTCGCTCAGAAATTGCATTTTTCCGCGACTACCTCGAAAAATTTCCTGTCACCTCCGAGGTGCATGAGAATTGCATTGAAAAACAAAAGAAAAAGGACCACGAGCAAAATTGTAAAAGTTATTAAGCATAGCACAAACCTTTCAGCTTTTTTCGACGTAGTTTCCTCTCACTGTGATACATTTTTCATTGGTGTCAGTTTCCTGATGCTTTCACGGTAGAAGTCCTTCAGCTGTTGTTTGAAAAATCCCAGGACAGTTTCTTAGAGTTCCTCATCTGTGTCGAACTTGACACCACCTAGGAACTTCTTCAGAGCTGGGAAAAGATGATAGTCACTAGGAGCTAGGTCAGGACTATATGGTGGATGAGGAAGGCAAGTCCAACCGAACTTTTTGATTAACTCAACAGTATCGGCCGCTGTATGTGGTCGCGCATTATCGTGGAGCAAAAGCACTCCTTGGGTAAGCTCGCCCCGCCGACGGTTCTGTATGGCTCTTCTCAGCTTTGTGAGGGTTTCTTTGTACCGTATTGCGTTGATGGTAGTACCTCTTTCAAGAAAATCCACCAGGAGGATGCCTTCACTATCCCAAAAGACCGTGGCCATGATCTTCCGTTCAGAAAAAGTGCGCTTAACTGCTGCAAGCAGAAGGCGGCGGAAAATTCTTCGAGGTGGTCGCGGAAAAATGCAATTTCTGAGCGATTGGTTGGTCAAAATACAAAAACCAATATACCGTTAGAAAGCTGAGAGTATAAGCTTTTCAGCCATATGTTTACCATTTTTGTAGCTTTTATAGTTCTTGAGAAAAAAAATAGGGAAACTTACTTTCTGAACGACCCTCGTATAAGGGCACATATCACAACCAAAAACACCAAGAATAACGTAAAAGACCAAGACAACAATAAAAACTACGAATATGAAGACAAAAAAAAAAAAAAAAACCGACATAAAAAAAACGACGAATGCAAAAAATCAAAGCACAGAGGTGGGGCCGCGTAGCGACCAAAGGGCTCCGCGCTTGGGTGGACCGTTTTGGAACTATTTTCAAGATTCCAAGATGACTACATCTAAAATGTTGCGTTTGCGCATAAAAATAACGCTCAATTTTTTTCAGAATTTTTGGACGAAGTCCTGAGCCCGCCTCGACGCCATCTTTGTTGCCAAATTTTCGAATTTTTCGAGAAATTGCCAGGATTCTGTTTGAGACCCGGTAAACGCTTGGAATTAATGGAAATGCAATTTGAAATACTTTTAATATCATTTCAAACTATACAGGTTAGGATATAACACCCCCAACTTGCAGGGAATGCCTTAGGGGACGCAATCGTGGATCGCCGAAATTCCTTAAAAATGCGCCGAAATACTACCTTTATTTTATGTTAATTTTCATAGGTTTCATTTTGCTCTTACTTTGTGTTATGACTAACAAGACTTATCGGTAGACTCTGGCCCACTATTTTACTGCACACGATGTGGGCTTAGGGTGCAGGGAATTGCTACAGGGATGTCATATCCCTCAGAATTGAAAAATTAACCACCGGTCAAGAGTGGGCCTCTGATTCGTGGATATCACTGGAAAAATGTTCCTACCACCCGAATTGTGTACTTCTTAGTTAGGTATGCTCAGACTGATTGTAAAATATAATAAAGTTGAACACACACAAATGGAAAAAGGCACTGCTGCCAGATTGAACGACTAATGTGTTCAACTAAATCATATTTGACCATCAGTCTGAGCATACTGTGCTAAGAAGTACTCAATTCGGGTGGTAGGAACAATTTTCCAGTGATATCCACAAATCAGAGGCCCACTCTCGCCCGGTGGTTAATTCAGGTTATTCATGAACATGTAAAGGGATTATGCCTGCTACTGAGTAGATGTATGGGAAGATATGAATTTTCGAGGGATTTCCAAAGATTTTTCTCCATTGGCAAGATAAAGCATTAACATTATTTCATAACAATACATGCTCTACAGGAATATGTAGGAATTATTCTTAGTTAGCCTTATACAGCTAAACAACATTTATTTCTTGTGAGATATCATTCAATTTTCATCTATCGAAAGGTTAGAAGATTTATTATTACCTTCTTCAAATTTTTCATTGCATGGCAGACACTCGCCAAAGTGGCATGGCTGTTGGCAGAAATGTTTAAGGCAGTTCAAAGGTTTTGAGCAGAGACTATCACAGGTAATCACCAGCTTTGAGTTGCATTGCACCGACTGAGAAGTCCTCCCACAACCGCACTCTCTGGATGATTTTGAAAAGATGAAAAAGGAAACATTTAAACTTTCGGATCTGTGAGCACATACATGGTTACTTTCTGAGTATCATGTTTGTACTGAGTGTTATGTGTGTGCTTGTTCTATGTTAAAAGCTCCTTTTTCAGTTCAGATTCAGTTTCGACTTTGAAATAGAACTTCAAGGAACAGCAAAGTATCAGAGGCATTTGCCCACTGTCAAACATACATAGGTGGATTTCAGGTACATGGTAGAAAATATGGGAAAGACATGTAACTTGCCGTTCAAAACTTTTAATTATAATCTTTTCTTTAGATGTTTGGTTCTTTGGGTAGAAGTAGGTCAAACCAACCAAGAAAAAATGCCACAGGAGATTTAAATAATTCTAAACCTTTTTTCAACGTTCTAAACAGTGAAAATAGCAGTCTGGTGATGCGTAACTGGGGGAGCGGTCAATGCATCAAGTCATTAAATAAATGAGCCAGGACCTATGGCAAGGTTTGTTTCATTTTATTTAAAGTCTTGACTCTGTATAGTTTGGTATAATATGCATTGAAACACCAGAAAACAATGTCATTCAATTTAATTAGAGGCTTGACGCATGCAACTCTGTATTCGGACAGTCTGGCGAAACTTTCAGATTTAGTTTGTGGCCACTCAGAATAGAATACAATGCTCAAGTGTGGATTGGAGCAGGAATGAGTGCCGAAGGACCAATAAAAGTCGATAGGGGATTGGTACATCAGCGTATATCCCTTGCATTAATCATGATCTCGGGCGAAAAACTGATTTTAGAAGTGCCGCACTTATTCATTGTCATTCTGGTGACGCTGTTTGCCCTCAAAACGTTTGGTGGGTTATGTGATAAAATATTTTTTTCTTACAGCTGCAGATGCACCCTCGACCTATCCTCATTGTTTTGTTTTATTTGTTACTGTAAATCGGCGAGAAAAATTTATTACCTCAAAACGTCAGTCTGGTGACTGACGTCTTGTTCTGGTGAGGTCACCAGAATGACTGTTTCTCAAATTCTAGGTAGACATCTGCGTAATTTTGTAGGTTACTTGTTATGGAAATCATACACAGAAGCTGCCTATGTTTTTAAAATGGGTTTATAATGAGCTTTTAGGTCAAAGTTGGATAGAGCGTGAACATTACATGACTGTCAGTCATGAATGACCAGTCACCAGAATGACGTCTCACATTACCAGGACGGCATGTCTTTGCCAGGACGCGAGTATACACTCTCCCAAAACGCGTAGCCGACTGCCCAGAGTCAAAGCTGAAGCCGGTCAAACTTAGCTCCGGCTCCGGCCCCGAAAAGCCGGCTATGAGAAATCACTAGCTGCAATCCAAAACCCAAAACACTCGGTACAAAGGACACACACAATTTTCCCGGAAATTGCATGTGATACATTGCAATCTTGTGCTGGTTCAGTAATCTGTTCACCCAATGAGTGGTATAATTATTAACCTGACTCAAATACTTATTTACACTAATTTCATCATTAAGAGCTCTTGAATTCATTGGAATGTTGAATGCTCCACGATTAAGGCTATGAAGTGTTGCCAGTTTGTGGGACGAAGGATGATTAGAATCAAAAGAAATCATCAAACCTGTAGCAGTAGGTTTTCTGAATAATTTAAAATTAATTAATTGAAGAACATACGCTGTTCCAAATGCACCTTTACTCTTTCTTTATTATCAACCGTGTTGAAATCTAAGGTGGCAATTGAGCAAGGAGCTCAGTCGAGCTGGCTACTATGCCCCTTAACTTTGTACAGTAAAAGTTCGTTAAGTCGAGCGATGCTTATGACGAAAATCCACTTCAGTCGAAATTTTCTTTGGTCCTGGGACGCTCTCATAAGAAACAATGTTAAAAAACAGCGCTTCAGTCGAATTAAAGAATTTTCGTGGCGGGTGAAAAACCGCTTATGTAGAATTTTTTTTCGAAAAACCGGAAAATTGTCGGGTTATTACAAGAAAAACACGGAAAATAAGCAACGTTGACGAAAGAAATGGATAAAGAGATTTGTGGCTATGTACGTTAATACATAAAGGAAATGTAGAAGTGACATATGTTACTCAATAGGTTTGAAAATTGCTGCATTTGGTAGTTTTCATGTTTTTTTTTAAAGCTTGGCTCCCTTCACTCTTAACTTCACTCTTGATTGAGATTTGATTGAATGTAAAAAAATTAAAAAAGTAAAATGAGGAATTTTAAAAATTTAAAAAAATGGAAACATTAAAAAAGTTAAAAATTTAAAAGCGCAAGAAGAAATCACTTAAAAGATCATTGATTTTTGTTTGCCTGTCAATGTAGCATTCCCGATATGAGCGATTATTCTAGATTTTGGAGGCTGCTATTGCATTTTCGTCAACTTCATACTGACAAAAAAATGTCGCGGCGGCATTGCCGCTTGAATCGAATTTCTACGTTTTTCTCGCTAATTGCGAGTTGAGCAGAGAAACGAGTAAGTCAAATAGCCGCTTATGTCAAAATTTTCATTGGTCCCCCGACAATTAGACTTAACTAACTTTTACCGTAGCTATCGTGTATCTACATAGTCTCTAAACAAGATTCAAAATTGGGCTATAGGACCTTGAAAACATTATAAAACTCTCCAAATTTGCAAAAATTTTCAAGATAGAAAAAATCAGAAAGATCGAGAACTTTCACCTAGGAATCTCGAGTATCCCCGAACGCCCTCACAGAGGTTTCTATTCAAGGACTTTCAATTAACATCTAGACTTTTCAGCACATGGAAGTTTCTAGAACCCTGTAAGTTATGTGAGAAGGCACCCGCAAAGTTTTCTGATCATGATAGGGACTTATTTTTTTCTGCCATATTTTGTGCAATGAGTGAAAACTATTGGTGCCTATGTAAATGTGTTACCGTAATATGGGGTGAATGGGGACAGGCGGGTGAATAGGGACAATTTTGATTTATTTCCGTTCTTAAGTCATGACTCAGTAAGTTTAGCACCTACAGAACTCGTTTTTTTCCGAAAATGTATAAATAGGCATCCTCTTTACTCAACCGGTGTAATCGGTGTTGTTTAGTGAAAACATAAAATGTCAACATAATCTCAAAACCAGACCTTGAAAAAGAGCGGTAAAACAAGCATGATAACGTCCCATGCAAGTGGATCACGAATTAAAGAAAAGTTTTTTTTTTTTTTATGTCATCACATTTTGACATCGTTAGTTACCTTGCTCATCACCAAAAATGATGAAATTTGCTCGATATTTAGGTGGTTAAGAAAATATTTTTCTCCAAAAAACGAGCAGTTGGGAGTCTGAGTATCATAGATTCAGGCACTGGGGAGGGGCTTTCTTTGAAATTTTCCGCGTCTTATCACATCCTTTGGAATATTTTTATGTACCTATTTCATATTCTGAGGCTTTTGAATACTGCCCTGGTTTAATTGAGGAATTTATCTTTCAGACCTCACAATGACCAGGGCGTAAAGGACAATCGTCATCTGTTTGCTTCTTACTATTTAGTTTTTGTTAATTAAAGACATGTTTTTTTCCAATTCAGATTCGAATTTCACTTTTTTTTAAAACTCAGGTAGTGTCTCCATTCCCTCTCCAGTTAGCAGAATGGGAACAACGCTTTATTTACATTGAAATCTGCTGGTGTACCTATTCACTCCAGTGGAGGCTGAATAGGGAAAGTAGGTAAAACAACAAAATTAAAATAGTTCAAATTTTCGTAATATCAAAATTTTGGGGGAGAGTAAAGGTCTTACAAGGTCACATCTTCCTGTTAAAAAAAAAAAAAACCGAATTCTCGAAATCAGTAGGCCACAGACGTTTATTTGTATAAAAAACTGTCCCCATTCATCTCATATTACGGTAGTGGTGTCTAAGGGCCTTAGTTTCTGATTACTCTGCGCAGGGGTGTAGAAAATGCCCGATCACGCGCCCGCCCGGGCGCGTGAAAAGGAAAGGCCCCGATTTTGTGGAATGACCCAAAAAGTAAGGAAGGAAGGTAAAATTTTTAGGGTTAAAAATGCTGCACGTCTTCTAATCAGTCTGCTGAGAGATCCGCGATACTAGCACATTATACAAAGAACGACTTCAACAACACAATTCGCAAGGAATTTCAAACTATTCAGGGAGAGGGAAATAGTGGTCGGCTCATTCTGATTGACTAACAACAAGTCTCATCTCTTGCTTCCACTTCTGATGAATTTTCCGTTTCAAAGTCATAAAAAGACTTAAAGATTTTTCTGTTTTCCACATAAATGTATGGTAGGTTTTCCACATTTTCTCCAACTAGATGAGAGCCAATGAAAACTTGTTGAAAGATGATGCAAAATGTGGAGGGACTCAGGAAACGTCTCCTTCACGATTTTATTAGTTATTATGGATTTCAACCTGAAATTGTGGAAACCTTTCCACACTTCCTCTAACTGGACGAGAGTCAATTCAAAGTTGTGGAAAAATGATACAAAACGTGGAAAGACCCAAAAATTTGCCCTGTGTTTATCTCCTCCCATAACTTACCCTTTTTTTCACGTGTCTCCACCACGTTTTTACTGATTTCGGCCTGAAATTGTGGAAACCTTTCCTTAATTTTCTCACTGACTCACTTACGGGAAGAGGCTACTAACCTTTAGGGATATTATTGAAAATCATGGCATTTTCATCATATTTTCACAATTTGCGCCTTTCCACAACATTTCTGTTTTTTCTGTCGACCTCGAAGCTTTGCCACATTTACCGGACTTTCCATGGTTTCAAGACCTCATACGATATCTATTCTATTTCACATTTTCGGAGAAATTCTACATTTTTAACACTTGAAATGTTCAAAGCCTTTACATATGTTAATTGGCAACCATTCCACATTTTCAAAATGTTTCCATACTTTTAGGACGTTTCGCCCCCCTCCTGCACTGAACTATGAAACCATCTGAAAGGCATAAAAAGTTGATAAAAACGTGATCTCGAGAGCTATATTTGCTCTCATTCCACAACTGCATCATGAAACGTACG